AGGTAAAGGAGATAGTTCTCAGAAGGTAAAAGACATGGCATTTTTCTCCCAGTTGTTCCATAAATATGCTGAGAAAAGAAGAGAAAAGATCTATTTGATGGAGAAGTAAATGCAAAGAAACTTTCATATCTACCCTAAATCTTTAGGATGGGGTGCTAGGTAACACACAAGCGATGCCTTGAGGGTCATTTTTAGAAAATTAATACACTCTCCCATTATGTTCAGTCTTCCAGGGCTCAGCGTCCAGGGCTTTACTGCTCAACAACTTTGGGTCAGTATCCATGAAACTGGAATAAAGCCTTACTATTGAATAATGTGCCATTTGGGGATTCAACAGATCAGAATGAAATTAACTATGGATATGTTCCATTTAAACTGTATAAAGTTAAGAACTTTAAAACTTTTAAAAATGTATTTATGGATTTTTAGAGAGAAAGAGAGGAAAGAAGAGAGAGAAACAGTTGATTTGTTGTTCTACCCATCTATGCATTCATTGGTTGATTCTTGGATGTACGCTGACATAAGATTACACCCGAAACCTTGGTGTATCAGGACGCCCTAACCAATTGAGCTATGGATCCAGGGCTAAAGTTAGGAACTTTTTAAAGTAATAAAATGGGAAGATTATATCTGTCTTGTATCATTAATATGGTAGATACATTTATGGACACTCTCAGTGGGTTGTTTGAGCTCATTAAATTAAAAGGTAGAATTTCTGTTCTGCTTAGTAACAGAAAGACTGTCTTTGTTGTATCTAATTAAACAAGAAGTGAAGCCACAGCACATATCATGAAGTAGTTGGCCCAGTTTTCATAGTGTTGATGGCTGCTTTCCTGCTACAAAAATAGAGTTGAGTAGAAAAGACAGGAGCTATGGTCTGAAAGGTAGAAAATTGTCATTTTGGGGTGTTTACGTAAATGGGAATGGAAAGTATTATTTGCTTATCACTTAAGAGCTTCTAGGCAAGGCTTGAAAAAGTGCATTTGTACAATTTACACAGTGCTTAACTGCTCTCTCAAAGTTCTCAAAGAGGTTTAAAATATTTTTTTATTCTAATGCGAAAGGAAAGACATTATTTATTTGCATTTCCTGTTGAGTTTGCTTTGGGTGTGCATCGTAAAAGTATAAAGAAGAGCTGCGAGTCCTTACTGAATGCACTGCATGCTGAGTAGCTTGTCAATAAATCACGTTCGGAATTGGAGTTCGCATCAGCCTGTGTATGAGGGATTAGCTTCATTCTCTGAGACAGCAGTGGTGCTTCCCATCGTGTTTTGAAAATGCATCTGGCTGCTGAGCTGAACCAAACATTCAGCAGCCAGAGTTTGGCTCTGGGTTCTGCAGGGTATGATTGTGCCAAGTAACAGTGTTTGCATTGACTGCCTTGTGCTCTGTGTAGAGGTCTCTGGTCAGAGTCCAGATTTTCCCTAATCAGATAAACCAGAGCAAACTGGTGTCTGGTTTTATCTCTCTAGAGGCCAGGAAAACATGTAGTTTCTCAATTGCTTGATATTCCCCTTTGAAAATAAGGACTTGCCCTGCCCCTAGTAATGGAGAGTGATTCTCACTCCTGCTGCTAAGATGTTTAAAGGTGAAATGCCATCATAGAGAAGCATTTAATCTCTGTGATATTGTATGCAAGCTTATTAAAATGTGCTACTCTCCAAGAAATTTGCAAACCTGAATGGAGATTATTTTATTTATATGTATATGATCTTCCATTTCTTTAAACCATGTGTTCGTGCAACAATGTTTAAAAAAAATGATCCTTTCACATGATCCCTGTGCCTGTGCTGAGTGGAAATGAACGGTGTTCCCTTTGGTTTTGGTTACAGCAGGAGTAAGAAACCTGTGACCCATGTGGGATCTGGCCTATCACCTGTTTTTGTAAACAAATCTTACTGGAACATTAGCCACACCCTTCATTTTCAGGGGTGCCCAACCTTTTGGCATCTCTGGGCCACACTGGAAGAAGAAGAGTTGTCTTGGGCCACACATTAAATACACTGCAACATGTCATCACAAATAAGTCTCATAATGTTTTAAGTAAATTTGCGATTTTGTGTTGGGTCACGTTCACAGCCATCCTGAGCCGCATGTGGCCTGCAGGCCACAGGTTGGACACCCCTGGTTAACAGAGCATTGATGGCTGCGTTCCTGCTACAAAAATAGAGTAGAAAAGACAGAGGTCCTAAAGCCTAAAATGCTGAATGTATTCACTCCCCGACCCCTTACAGAAAAAGTGTGTCAACTCCTGGATTACGGCATGCTCTTAGGGCCATGGGTCTTCTGCTCTGACTCCACTAGTAGCTTTTGGGGTTGTGGGCAACTTATTGTCCTCCTACAAGCTTTAGTTTCACCATTTATGAAATGAAACATGCTGAGGATTAAGTTTTAAATTAGATAGTATAGTTAAAGCCAGTACTGCCCTTGTCCCATTGTGCTGTGAACAGTCCCCTGTTCAGTACAGTACTCAGGGCCCGGCACACAGGAAGCACTCAGGGAACATCTCAGCATATGAGACAGCTAATCATTTTGGCTGTCTTTGTTACTCCTTGTCGTCTGCGCCTTCGCAGCCATTGATCTGGAGCTGTCGGAATCTTTGTGTTTTCCTTCCCCACTGCTCTGCCAGATGGCAGCTCTGCTTCCCTCACGGAGACAGAAAACAGCAATTGAGATTCGTGAGAGGAGCGCTTGGGAAGGAAGCAGGTGAAGCTGCTTGGCAAGGTGTGAGGCACACAGGAATCAGCCGTCGGGTCAAAAGTCCGCCAACAGGACAGCATGTGGAACACGGCTCTGGAATCTGCACTTCCCGGTGCCTGTCACTGCTCTGCTCTGTGTGAGCTGGTGACCGAATTCAGCAAAGCAGGTCGCCTTTCTCCTCTCTTTCAGAAGGCAGCTGCCCTTGCAGACGTGGGCAGCTGTGTGGCATACCCCACTGCACTCCAGCACTTTGTTCAGAGGGGACCTTTTCTCCAAGGCCTTCCCTGACCATCACCCGTGTTAAATCACAGCTTCCTCCCCACCATGGACTCCCTCTGTCTCTTTCCTGCTGGATTTCTGTTTTCCATCCAACATCTCATACTGCTCTATGTGACGGACTCCCTGTTTCATTTGCTTGTCAGCTGTTTCCCCCCACCCCTGGGAGTGTCATGAGAATTGGAATTATTCTCTGTTTTATTCACTGATCTGTTCCTGGTGCCTGCAACAGTGTTAGGTGCATACTCAGTGTTTATTAAATACCTGGTGAATGGAAGAATGGTGCCCAGAAGGCCTTCCTGCGGCCAGAGGAGCACTCTGCTCAGTCGGGGCATGGGATCTGGCTGGGCTAGAGGAGTAAATGGAGAGCAGGCTTGTGAACTTGAGCCACCATGGTGCCAGTTAATGACATCAGCATGGTCAGTTGTAGAAAAATGGGAGATTTTTAGAATATCTTGATACCTTTAAGACCAAACATGAAGAGTTATGGAAGTGGAAAGAGGGTTTGTTCATTTGTTTGTTTGTTTGCTTTGTAATGGTGACTGTGTTTGGGCATCTGCAAGACTCTGCAAGGTGCTTGTGGCAATCAGGTTCAGTGATTGGGATGGGAGGTCAGCACCATGGGCTTCCTTGGCTCAAACTGTCATCCCCCAGTGCTGAATGGGGTGGTGATTTGATTCCCTTTGGCCAAACAGCAAACCCTACAACTGTAGGGAGCCGGACCAATTAACTTCTGGAACTTGAACTATGGAGTTGGAGCTCTAACTTGACTTGATACCCAGGGTCTCCAAGTCAGAAACTTCAAATTCTTCTCTCTTGTTCTTCTACCCTTGATACCAAAGTATAGATATTTAGAAAGGCAAACAGAAGGAACATGGAGAGGTGTTTCTTTTAAAGGAGGTGTGTTAGAAATGAGAATATTCAGGCATTTCCTTTTACAGAATCAATCTCCTTCACTAGATTGGAGTTCTTTGAGGGCCACACCTCTCTTTTATTCACAATTGTATTTTTAGCACTTGGTATCTTGCCAATCACATAATAGAGAACAGATGAATAAATAATGAAAAACTAAGCAGGCTGTATCAATTTTGGACTTTGTATAGCATTAGTAGTCTGACTTATGTAGGATTTATTTACACAGGTTTGTTTTATTTTTAAAATATTCTATAATAATTTGTAGTTATCATCTTTGGAATGAAGTAGATTTTGACTACAATGTACACAGCAATAATGGACACAACTAAAAGTTTGAGTTTTTCTGAGGCCAGTCGTCAGGCAAGAAGTGTTCCTGTGGGTGCACAGATGATGTTAGGAACCACGTCCTGTCCACCAAGCCGAAGGCTTTGAGAGACACTATTTCAACGTGTCAGAATTCCACTCCAATACCACGGGGGAGTCTTCATGTCTGTTAGGAAAGCTGAGCCAGTGTCAGCAAGAGCATTGTATCAATACAGCCCGTCTGTGACAAGCTCCAAGCTACGAGGCCCAGGAGTTGGCCCTTTGGGTAGATTTCTCTTCAGCTGAAGGACTCAATTGGCCAGAGTGGTACATGCTAGGTGGCATACTCCTGGAGATAGAGACCAATGGCCCTTGGTGACCAGCATCCTTCCACCTGATAGGGAGCTCTTGGGCACCGTCTCCTACAAAGCTGTGACTTGCTACAGCACAGAGTCTCCATTTGGCCACACAGTGCCAGTAGTGTGATACAAGGCCAGTAACGTGAAAGATCAAGGGTTGAAGAGCCCATTCAGGACTTTTCATGTTGCCTGAGCTGCTGAGATCCAAGGCAGTTTGAGTCTACAACATGAATTTGTTCTCCACACTGATGCCAAAGAGTAGCCAGTGTACCAGTGTAGCTGTGGAAGAACTAACGCGTGGATGCCATGTGAGACAGGGAAGTTTATATCTGCCGCTTCTCTGTCACGGGACAAGCTTCATTTGAAAGTTAGCTGTGTGAGACAGAATGCTCAGGGGGCCTGTATGGCACCCCCCAGAATAACCTGCTTCCACACCCTGTTTTCCAGCATGGGCTACTGCATCCTCGTTGTGCATGGACTGAACAAGCTCTGCTCTTGGCTGAACCGCTGTGGGGCCACCACGCTGACAGTGTCCACTGTGCTGCTGCTGCTGCTGTTTTCTTGGAAAACTGTGAAGCAGAATGAAATCTGGCTGTCAAGGGAGTCCCTGTTCAGGTATGATTAGATGGGTCAAAGTGAATTCTTCCCATTTATATCTTTGCTTATGCATTTGTTCCCAAACAAATGCACTAACATGGGTCTAACAATATTTATCAATCCAGAAAAAAAAACTTAGTCAAGTTTTAAGTGGAAGATACAATTTTATTTTGTCTTAACATTGATAGTTTTAAAAATGATAATATATAAAGTTTTATAGGAGCTTGTGCCAAGTGAATTTATGAAAATAAGGTTCAGGAGAAGGTTTTTGGGTCTTTGTGATTGGCAGGGCTATCAAATCAGCTCTAAACGCAAGGAAGAGTGGTGGCCTGAGTTCACTGTTCAGACGAGTGACTGGGAAAGGGGAGCACACACCCGGAAGAAAGAGAGATGCAATACATTTTCTTTAAGTATTCCAGAATACTAAGCTGTGATCTGTGATCTAGTTGCTTTATTTCAAACGTTTACTGTGAACAAGGAAATGAAAGACCTTTTCAGCTCCTGGTAGATGTTTTTGTGGTGTGGAAGCCTTTTCTGAACATGGCAATGTCAAATTATAGCCCTAAACCTATCATAGAGTATGAACACTCTTTGGGACTATAGCTCATCACACTGTGTTCCTGGGGCTCCATCTGTCTCCCTAACACCATAGTGTTGGTGACCTTCACCTCCCCCCCATCACTACCATACTCTGCACCCAACAGTATTTTCCCCAGGCATCCCCAGCCTCTGCCCCCTTCTAACTTCTGTCCTGGCTTAGGATGCAATTTGCCAATTCAGCCAACACGATGTTTACTAGGTTCCCTGCTCAGCTGGTGCCCACCACTTACTCTTCTGAGGCAAACAACTGAAACAGACTTGGGGCCACTTGGGAAAAAAGGGTAAATGCTGGAAGAGTAAAGGAAAGTGCCCTGGGTTGACGGGCAGGTAGAGAACCTGGCATGTAGCAGACAGGAAACAGGCATCTGGATTGCACTCTTATGGGAACACATGGGCAAACCTGCACCAGTTTTTTCTTTTCTATTTCACATCACAGTCCTGGGGAAAATAAAGTCCTTTTTCCCCAGTCAAGTGGCTGAGCTTCAGCTTAGACCACGTGCCTGCCCCTTGCCCTCACAAGGGCACTGAGATGAATGATCTGGCCAACAAGCTCCTCTGACTTCCATGGGGCAAGCCAGAGCAGGCAGAGCACCCTGGGGTTCCACTGAGACTCCACAAAGGGAGATGAGAGAATTCCCCACAGGGAATCCAAGTCCTGGAGGAGGGGCAGCGTCTCCGGGCTGCCAACAGTGAGTGAATGGGTGAATAAATAAATGAGTGAATGAATGAACAAATAAGACAAAATTTCACTGCCTTCTTCTGCTATTTTGAAATCATCTGTCTGATTCTACTACTGGGCAACTTAATTTTTAATAGAAAAAATTAGTCTGGCATGCATCTCTTACGAGTTTATTTGTTATTATGACATCATTGTCATCCTCATCATTTCAGTGGGTACTGTAGGGGCCTACTGCTGCCATGTAAGATGATTTGTGTGGGTTTGATTTTTTTTTAACATTTTTTTTCCGCTTTTAGGCTTCAGATCTTTTTTTCATTCTCTGTCATACCCCTCTACCTCCGGTGCTGTTCTCACACCCCACAATAGACTAGTTCCTCCCACTCCCTAAGCCGGAGGTCATTCTGTAAACACAGGGCATTGAAGTTCAGGAGTACAACTTCCTCCTAGTCTCTGTGGGCTTTTTTTTTCTTTTTTTACTTCCAGGAGTGATTGCTTTAATGAGAAACTTTAAAATGGTTCTGCCTTGTGTTACATCCTTGCTGTGAATAAAGGTGCTAACAGCAGTTGTGTCCTCTAATGATTTTTACTGCTTAATCAGAGCAACTTTGGGAATGGATTTTGGCAGGCAGCAGTTTATTTCAAGGATAACAAGTTAGTGTGCAAACCCTCTACAGCTGATGCCAGCCGCTTAAAAAAAAGAGTTCATTGACCTTACACCCACAGCTTCTTTCCTTTTACATGGAAGTATGCAGTAAGTGAACAGTTGATTACTAAAACAGCCATTCCACATACGTGTTTAGAGAGACTGTGTGCCCTGAGAGTTCTTCAGTTATCAGATGGAATTTTGTATTATATATAAATCAAAGCTATAGATAGTTTTTAAAAACTTTGCTGGTTATAATTTATCTATGTCCTAAGAAAACTTTTAAGAATATGAGACTTTAAGAATATTCTTTTTCCATCAAAACCAGATGTTGGTATGTATTCATCTGTGCTGAATAATATTCAAATAAATTAAATAGACATTTACCAACAATCTGTGAGGCAAGGTAGGCTTAGTGGTTGAGTGTGATGTTTGGGTTGAGGCTTCCTGGCTCCGCTCCACGTCCCCCCTCCACCCCCATTTCACAACTGTGTGATCTTGGGCGAGTTGCTTAGCCACACCTGCCACTCCCCAATCTTCAAAATACCTGGGAAGACGGAGACAGTGTATTTCTTTTACACCCTCCTCAGGCTCTCTCTGAACCCTATTCATTAACTGTTTAAGTGATCCACAGAATTTGTGGCCTAGGTCATCCTCCCCCTCGGTAGGAAATGCATTGCTCTCTCCTGCCCTCAGAATTGCCGAGCCAGAGAGATCAGCAGACTTTCCAGGGCGGAGACTAAAAAGCAGAGATTGGCAAATTCTTTTGTAAAGGTTCAAATAGTAAATATGTTAGGCTTTGTGGGCCATGCATTTTCTTTTGCAACTACCCCGCTCTGCCATCGCCTCAGGAAAGAGACCAAAAAGATAGCAAGTAAACACTTGGATGCACCTGTGGACCATAAGGCCCTAGTTTGCTCACCCGTGATATCAACGTTGTAAAGGTGAAATTCTAAAGTTACTACTATCTTGTGGTACCATTTTGGTTGAACATCAAATATCAGTCAACTCCAGGAACAGTTCTGACCACATACTGGCCTTGGTCGAAATCTCTGCTCAACTACTTACTAGGTCTATAACCTTGGGAAAAGGTCTTAATCTTTCTGAGCTTTAACTTCCTCACCTATAATATGGGAGGCACATTAATACTCCTTATCCAATAGGTTATTGAAGGGATAAAGTGAGATAATCATTGGATATGGGTGCTTAGCCCAGCGCTTGATTCAAAGTGAGCCTTCCTTCAGCACTAGCCCTCCCACGTGTGGCATTGCAGGGCCTCAGGTTAAAGCATGGTCAAAATTGAGGACAGCCCCAAATTCTTACTTATCTTTCTTGTTAACCTTTGGCTGAATACCACCCATTTTTTTAATGTTTGTTGTCTAATCAGGAATTTGTTATTTCTGTTACTTTTCAAATCTTTTGCAAATGAGGGATGTGAAGGAAAAATGCAAAGTGAATGAATTGAGATCCTGAGTTGAAAGGGAAATTTTTTCATAATCATTGTTGTTATTATTAGTAGGGTTTATGATCTAGCCATGTAATTTATGAATGCTGCATTTCCTTGTAGAGTAAAGATGTGCAAAGCTGTGTGTTTCCATTAAAACAGTCTCAAGTATGGAATCATAGCACCAAGAAGGCAGATGGAGGGGTCTGGCCCCAGGGAGGAGGCACCTGGCCAGTTATGGCAGCATGGAAAGTTTTGCCTTTGGCCAGTTGTTTATTTGACCTTTTTTTTAAATAAAATGTTCATCATAAAATGAGAGGCTGGAAAAATACAATAGAAAAAAATCTCAGAGAGAACATTAAGGTCAAAAACAACAACGGGAGAAGCAAAGTGTTCTAGGATTTCGGTTACTCCACCCACGTCTGCTTGCCTATTGTGAATATTATTGCTTCCTCTTGCCATCGCTGAACAATGCCCTGACCTCGGAAAGGAACATGTTTCCTCAGGCCTAATTGTCTATTCCTCAGTGACACATAAATTAGAACAACTATGATAATTACATGGAGGGAAGGATCAGTTCTGATACGTTTGCCAGTTATATTCATGCTAAAATCAAAGTTGTCTGTAAAACCTACCTGTTACCATGAACTAGTTAGTTCTGGATAGAACAAGCAGAAGTTTTCCTGGAAAGAAAAATCAGAAATTTTCCTGGAAAGAAATTGGATGTGTTTGCTAAGCCATGGCTATCACACTGACCCAGATCCTGCCCTGTGACTGAATTCACTTTGGGTAATGTCCATTTTAAATATTATATTAAAACCCTAGCTCTGTGCCAGCTGGTGGGCCTCACCACAGGGGGATTACAGGAAACAGGTGGTTTCCCTGGACCACCCCAATGTCAGCCCTTGCACATCTTTCCACTGAGAGGAGAGGATTCCCCCAGTCTTCTCTCTGGGAGGTCCAATCCTAGCTGCCAACATTCAGAACCTTACATGGAGAAAGAACTGGGGGATCCCCCATGTTCAGAATTCAAGTTTTCACTCAATTTGCCTTTGAGGTACAGCCCTTCCCCTGACTTCAGCTGTACCTATTGTTCCTGAGTGCAGGCTCTCTCCAATTCAGCTTTCCTGGAGAGGAAGCCTCCTACCTTCTGCTGGGAGAGGGAAAGTCTAGTTGAAAAAGTCACCTGCATAGGCAGGGGCAGAAGAGGACTGGGAGTCTAACTTTGCTCTAAATTTGCTCCCAATACAAATTTATGCTAGATTTCTTCTCAGCCTCACCCTACCACAAAAAATAAAAATAATCCAAGCTACCCACGGTATCTTTGAAGTCACCGAAGCAGCTGTATAAAAGCTTGGACTCTGATGCTTTTTGTTGATCTGTTGCTCTCGGGTTGGCCTCTGGCTTCCCACACTGCCTGTGAACTCTCGCCCTGCAGAGTTCCTCCAGCATCCAGCCAGTGGGCTTCAAGGGGGCCATCTTTGCTGGCCCCAGGGGCTACTGCAGCAAAAGTTCAACAAAGGTGCAATGCCCGAACATATTCCCCCAATAGGTGTTAATGTGTTGTATGAAATTCCCTTATTACTCTTACCTTTAAATTAAAGAATAAACAAAAATACATTCTCTGGAAGAGACGGTACATTGAAGCATAACTGCCCAGAAACTAGGTTGTTGTTCTTTCTCCTTCCTCTCTGTTGTTAACTGTCTTCCTCCTGCATTTAATCCACAGAAGTGCAGGAGTCTTCTCTCCATGTAGCCCTCAAACGATCTACTTCCATCATTCCCCTGCCATTGCCTCCTTGCGGGTGACAGAACAGGGACTCCAGAGCTGAACTCCTTGGGTCAGAATCCCACACGTGCCACTCACCAACTATCTGATCTGTGCAGTTAATGTTGTGAGGCAGTACTGGTGACACACTGGTCCTCTTCTGCTCCCACCCACTCCTGCATGATCATCAAAGCTTTGCTGTTATTCCGTGGGGGTTCCCTAGCCATTTCATTATGGCACCCCAAGCAGAAGCATAAGTGACCATATGAGCAAGGTTCTTAACCTTTCCAAACAAAACTTCACTTCCTTATCTGCAACCTGTAGAATAAGTTATACCTGCATTTATTTTTTAAAAAATTGCTCAGAGTTAGTCCATAGGAAATGTTAAGTTTCAATGAAAATTAGTAGGGAGACCAGTCTACAGTCATTCCTTCTATAATGGTTAACTTTTGTAGACAATCTCATTTTTTTTTTAAGGAGAGGAGAGCTATAAGTGAATGAAGGAAGCAAGGAGAGAACAAACCTAATTGTTGACCTGAGCATGCAGGACTGTTCTCCCGTGATGTATCCGCACCAGGTCCCACCGCCCCTGTGTCCTGTGCCATTGGCATGATTGGCTATGCACAGCTGTGCGCTAACTTCACTGTTTCCCATCCAAGCACGTTCAGTAACTCATATGATTCACAAGTTTCTGAAGACTTGACTTAAAGGGTGCAGTGGACATTTCAAATGCAGGGTCGTGAAACTTTGAGTAAAATGTGAAGGAGGCTGACAACATTCCTAAGCAGCACTCTTTGTTTTTCTTTTTTTTTTTTTAATTTTTTAATTGTAGGTCTGGAGTTCAGACTCTGCCCCACAACGCCAAGGTGCACTACAACTACGCCAATTTCCTGAAGGACCAAGGTCGGAACAGGGAAGCCATCTACCACTACAGAACGGCCCTCAAGTAAGTGCTGTGTGTGCCGTGCAGGTGTCTCCATCCTGCTCTTCAGGCCCTGTGTGTTTCACTTGCCCCTCCCAGTACGTGGGGGGCTGGTTTCTTCCTGGTGACAGTGAGCATCTCCTCGGATGTGGTGTAGGCCTTGGGTTCTGAGTCTTATGGCTCCGTGTTCAACTCTATTAGTAGTGTGGTAACTCTACCTTGCTTCTAACTCTCCATGTTTTCCTGTAAAAGTTTCTGCTGCTACATATTACAGAATGAAGTGATACCCAGGTGAGGCAAAAATATGTATACAATACATATCTATGTGTATATATATCCCCAGTGAATTGCTCCCACTCCAGGCTTCTGACTGTCTGAAAGGATTCATATGAAGACATTTGAGTAAACCAAATAGGGCTTTCAATATGACTTTAAAGAGAAAACTAAAAATTCAAGTTCTATGTTACCGTTGGTGGCCTTGATTGCTCTTAGGTACTCTGAAAAACTGCAGCTCTGACTTTCAAGATGGTCTTCTCTAAAGAGTCCCAGATAATAAACATATTTGACCTGGAACGCGTGGAGACGTGATTAACAGAGCCTCAGACTCTGTAGATGTGGGCAAAACCAAACACGGTGACTCCTCTCTTTTACCAACTCCTGGGAGGCTCACAGAGAAGCTTTCTGAAGAGTTTTCCAGGCTCCTACAAGATTGGCCTACATTTGGTTGAAATTTCCTGGTACTGTTCCACCTTAGGACATACTTAAAATACTTAAACCAAACAAGTCGTGTATTTCAGTGAAGTGCCAACTAGGATTGGCTCAAAGCCCAGTTTGAAATCATCACTTTTAAAGGAACTGACCTGATTTTTAAAAGTATCCTTTTGAACAGCATTCTGCTCAAGTGTGTTACTCATCGGTCAACATCTGTTAGATTTTAGGGCTTGTTACTTAATATTCAGTATGGCGAACATTCTCAACTGCCACATCAAGTTCCTTTCCAAAAGTGCCATCAAATGCTTTTCCAAAGATTTCAAGAAATGTTAAGTCCTGGAAGAATACTTGTAACAGAGCTTTTTATTGAGGATTATCAGTTTTTATTAAGGAATCGAAGATAGTTTTTAAGATTTTCAGGAATTATATTCTTTCATTGGAAAGCAGTTTACCCAAACGTTTACATTGCTTATCTCTGGTTGGTGAGATTATGGTTTGATTGTTTTCTTTATACTTTCTTTTGTGCTCCAGATGTTCCACAGTGAAAATGTATTTGAGGAAATGTCATTTTTAAAAAGGCGTATTCATTCAAGGATACACATAAAGTGTGTTTTGGCTTTAACAATTAATGTTTCATGATTTTAGTGACATTCTTGAAAGAAAGAAAAGAACAGTAAGTTGTGTGAAAAATAACTGTTGGGAGAAAATGTATCAGTATCTTTTTAAATTTGTTTTATTCCAACAGATGATTTTCTCTCAATTCACACAAGAAAACATGGTAGACCCTAAGGCACAGCTTGGGGCAAAGTTGTAAGTTAAGTAGAATTCTCTGGCAGGTGATTTTACTGAATTATAATAATTACAGCTGGTTGAGTACTTCAGCATCTTTGCCATAAAACAATAAAAATAAATGTTTGTTTCAGCAACTGTGCTACTGGAAGAAACATATCCCTTGGGAAATGGGGAAAAACAATGAAAGCTATAAATGTACTGCATAGTAATTAGTGAAATATTTCACTCTCTCAGACCAGGCTCAAAATACTTCTGATTTAAAATAAAATATCATTGTTTTTGTGTGTGAATTTTCAAAAGATGTGGGATTCTTTTTAATGTAAGTAAATTGTCACCCTGCATTAGAAAGAAAGAGAAAATACCTGGACTGTTTATCATTGATGAACCTATCCTACTTGACTTAAAGTTTGCTCTCATTTAGATATTGCTATTTCTTTGTGGAAATTGCTGAGACAGGGATTCCTCCCACTTCCAACTGCTCCCCCCTATTTCAACTTCAGTGTATTTGATATTTTCCATATTTGCACACAGCCAGAAAGAGAATGATTAAGGAAATATAGGGTTGAAGGTGATACTATCTGAAATCAGTCCCAACATTACTCGTTCCTGTTGTAAAGGCTATAGAGATCCCACAGGGAATGGTGAAATTAGTCACTAGGGTTGCATCTGTAAGAATATCTTTGTGGCTGGCTTACAGTTCTAAAAACAGCACTATACTAGATTGATCATTATATAGGACATGGATATTCTGCTTCTTTTCAGTGGTGTTCTATTCTTTAAACCATGTAGAAGTATCGCTGACTTCTCTTCCCTTATGATGTACTTCATTTATTATATTTCTGTAGTACGAGGGAAATCTTGTATTTCTGAAATACATTACAACCAAGACTATAGATTAAGATTAAGACCCATGCCATTAGAGAAAAATGTGAGAACCCTTTCCTTAAGTCCTCAACAAACGTAAGTACTAGCTTCACTTTGCTGTGCAGGGCAGCTCTTGTGTCTATACATATCCCGGGTTCTGTAAAGCATGGGATTCTGTGTGCTGGAGAATTAGAAGCCCCCTGGAGGATATGCTATGGGCCTCCAAAGCTTTCTGACCACACAGTTACCCTGGAAAGGTTTCTGCCATTCCACCTCACATCATGTGATGGGAGTAGGGAGTTCAGAGACCACCCACCATCTCAGTTCTTCGTGCACCAACGCTGCCACGAAATGCCTCATCCCATAAATCCGAAAGGAGACATAGTGGCCCTGACTTGATAAAGTGCAGAAGACACTGGGTGTGTATTTGGCCAGTGGTTTGCTGATTGGCATAAAACACCAGTTTAAGGTAAAGAGTTATACAACAAATTATGTGCGCTCTTGAAGGTTTTATCAGCCATTACAATTTCACATGTGCATCCATTTACCAATCTTCTAGTGTCAAACCACATCCTTTCCTTTGAATAAGAGTCTACTGATCTGAAAAAACACATCCATAATTTATTTCTATGATAATCAGTTTTGATCCTTTAAAGTGGAGTAAACATTTAAGGACTATGTGAGATTCGTCTGATTATTCTCCTTCAGTCTTTTACGGTGATCTTATTCACATCTAATTCAACAGCAATTTTTTGAGCAACTTCCCTTTTGAAGTACTTCTAGACAATTTGCTTGGTTTTCATAGAAATAGCAACTCTTTTATTTATACTTTACCAGTTTTCAAAGTATTTTATTATATTGTATAATTGTAATAAAAGCTGCAATTGGAATAAGTTTGTTAATAAACACAACAAATTCTTAGCAGCCATGCAACTCAACCCACGGGAGCAAAAGGGCCCGGGCTCACAGAGGAAGTTCAAGTTGTGTTTATCCATCAATATATTTTAAAGGAAACAGAACAAACATCTGGAAATCTGATCACACAATTAGAGACTATAGGTGATAGAGACATGGAATCTATTTTTTCCTCTTGCATTTAAATTCCCCACATGACTCCATTACCGGTTGGCTTCATCAGGAATCCTGCAACTGGGAGTGAGAATAGAGTCTGCCTTTGTCCTGGTGGCTCAGGAAGACCTCTCTACTGTCAGCAGCAAAGTGCCCCATGTTCCGCTGAACGTTTGTTCACCTAGATGCCCTCTTCTTCCCACCCTGCTATAATAATCCCCTGCCACACCCAGATTTGCTGATGTGGTCCAGGTGCTTGGATATCAGCCATATGCAGGATTCCATCTTGATCAAAGGGCTATGATGAGTCACCCAGACAACTATTTTTTCTCACAAATATGGTTTTGACATGAAATACACAATAAATCATCTAAAATGTTCCTCTTCCTGTAATCCTGCCATGCAGGAGATACAGTATCTTGCCCTGGGGGTACTCAAGTGTGCATGGGCAGCCATGGGACCCTTAGAGCCACCTTTTTCATTCCTAATGTATCTGTTTTAAACAGAAAATTATTGATGTTTTAAACAGAAAATCCAAAGGGAGAGAAAACTGTATTCAGAGGGGGTTGAAATTCCTGACCAGGTTCTTTTCTTTGAACATTACTGAAAGGAAAGGAATGAGCTTTTAATGCCCCTATAGAAAACAAATCTACTCTTGCTATTTAATGGGCTAACATGTCGGAAAGAATCAAACTAAACTATTTCTGACTGGAATTTTTAAATGCATACAATAGAGACTCGACGTGATAACAGTGCCCATTGATGTCACCCTTTGTATTCCCTTCTGTATGGATAACTGGAACTCTGCAAGGAGGTTCCATTAGACTGCAATAAGTGTATGCGGAAAAAGGAAAGTAATAAAAGAATGACTATTGAAGAAATGCCATATTGGGGTCTGGAGAAATCTAACCAAATCTAATTAATCCACTGTTGATTGATATCCTATCTCAATATTACTTTATGATAATTCCTTCAACAAATGCTACCTGTAAAACTGGTGGAATTTGAACATTTTTTAAAAGTCAGGATTTATGTAAAATGTCCTTCTCTACACAGCCTATTTTGAATGAACATTTGAAATAACTCTCATGACCACAGGTGGCCTTGGATACCAGCTGCCATGCATTTCTGGAAAGAATTAAAATTCCAATACCATTTGTTAGCCGGGTTTAAGAAATGGAGAGGGGTTCTTCTGTTGGTGTGGTAGTTTCACTTCTAAAACTCTGAATATGCTTTCTAGTATTATAGGTAGATACTTGAAATTATATTTGTATCTTCTTACTGCTGAAATTATATTCTCACTATATATATGAATGTCATGTTAATTCTCATGGTTTTATTCATTAATTTAAGAAATTAAACATTATTTCACTTAGAAAAAAGGTAGAATTTTAGTCACATTATGGACATACTTATGGACTAAATTTCCAAATGAAAATTCCATAATTTATGTGGCCCTCTCTGTCCTTTTTCTGCCTTATATGACTCTTTCACAATAAAAGCTTGCTGTGGTTCCCTAGGAGACAGACAGGAAGGCAGAGGTGAGCCTGCAGGGAGTTCACTAAGGAGTGCTCTCTGAATCGCTTAGA